AGAATAGAATAGAATAGAATAGAATAGAATAGAATAGAATAGAATAGAATAGAATTTTATTGTCATTCCACTATACACTATATACCAAGTGCATAATAAAATGAAATTCCATTGCAGTTGGCTCACAATTACAATCATATATTAAATGCAATTGAGATACCATAGTTATTCTATACACATTTGACATTGAACATTCAAACATCTAATAGCCTGGGGGACAAAGCTATTTCCCAGTCTGGCTGTTCTACATCGGATACAGTGGAACCTCTTCCCAAAGGGGAACAAAGAAAACAGGACATGATGAGGATGGGAGGCATCACTGATGATCTTTTGAGCTCTAGATAAACGGCACACATATGCTAGGTCTTGGATGAGAGGCAGAGAGATCCCAATTATCTTCTCTGCTGCCCTTACTACCCTCTGCACAGACTTTCTGTCTGAGGCACTACAGTCTCCATACCAGATGGAAATACAGTTAGTGAGTACACTCTTTATAATGCCTCTATAGAAAGTAAGGAAAATGGAAGATGAGAGATGTACTTTCCTCATCCAGCACAAAAAGCGCAAATGTTGCTATGCTCGTTTTACCAAAAATAGGGTATTAAGGGACCAGGTCAGACTATTCATTAACTGCACCCCAAGGAATCTAATGCTACTGACTGACTCCACAGCTGTGTTATTAATAAAAAGTGGAGTGTGACTATACCGGCTCTTCCTGAAATCTATAATAATCTCCTGAGAAGAGAAGAGAAGAGAAGAGAAGAGAAGAGAAGAGAAGAGAAGAGAAGAGAAGAGAAGAGAAGAAGGCAAAGAAAAAAAAGTGTACAACCTCCACATCATACTCATACAGCAAAGAAACAACAATTTCCCATAATATCTGGCCAAAGGTTTTACTCAAAGACAACATCTAACATTCAGGGAAACATGACAACTTCTAGTATGTAGGTAAAAACAGCAATCTCAAGGTATGTTTCAGGAGAGTCACCTAATATTTTTGAAATAATAATAACAACAACCACAATAACAATGTTACTTTCATTAAAAGGTCTTACTATGCTCTCACAGAAGAGTCAAGAAAGTGACATGCCAAGAGCCTACCTCCCTGAATAACTGACTTGTGTTGCTAGCATTCACCTAGCTGCTTCAGCAGTACGCACTTGCACCTGGAGGACAATATAGCTTAATGCAAAACTACAGTTGGCTTTCACAGCCACTATATAAAGAGTTTTCTTGTCCACACTTCATGTCGGGTACCATTCATTTTAAATGTATTATAGCACTGAAAATTGCACAAAAGATTTTTGTAAAGCATATTAAAAAGAAAACAAATTTACAGATAGCTCAATCCAATTTCATTCCCAAAAGTTTTGGGGTAGGAGGATACTTTCAGGAAGCATTTGCAGTATGAAAAGCATTGCCAAAGTTAGTCAGAATATGAGTAGAGCAACCCGTGTCTAATTTTTACAATTTCACCATCCCTCTGAAGATGCACATTCCAATTCTTCTTGAATATCTCCCAATTTCTATAAGAGGTTTTTTTATGGAATGCAGAAGAGGTCTTACAACATAAACAGTAAAAAAAAATCACTTAATTTTTAGATACAATCTATGATTCTTACATATTTAAAATATGAAATACAAAAAATGCATTACTTTGATCAGTGATGACTGTTCGAGCCTCTTGATTGCTGGTTTTATTTTTCAGATTCTGAGCTGCTGTTATTAATTCTTCCAGCTGTGGGCGCCTTTGTTCCAGATCTTGTAATGTTGTCTGAAATAAATAAATATAAATATATTTGATATTTCTATTATTATTTCTATTTCTATTCTTATTATTAGGATACTTTAGGATAATTAAAACTGTAAAAACAATAAAGGTGATCCAATCCTAACAAAATAATCAATAACACAATTCAAATATAATCCATAAACAATATATTTTGAAAGTGTATGTTACAGTTTATGACGGATGTTTGTGTGTGTGTGTGTGTGTGTGTGTGTGTGAGAGTGACATGAGGTATCACTTCTGTCTTAGCAGTGGTTGAGCAGAATGGTATATTTAATAGCAGTCACTTCTGTTACTTTCAGTGGAGAAAAGCAAAGTATAGAAAATGTGTGCAATCACATACGCCTATAGACAACGGGCATCGTTATTCTCTCCCACGAGGAATATATTATGTAAGGAATTAAATTTATTCGGGATAAATTGACACTACTTTAAGTTAAGAGATCAAAATGCCAACATTGTTGTTATACAATGTTTCTGACCATATTTCACAAACAAATGTGACCAGCTTGTGCAAAATGTTATGGAAAGAGACACTTACATAAAACAAGGCAGTATGAAAAACCAGTCACACTACATATCCTAGCAAGCTGGTCAGCTCCTACTGTACTCTGCATTTAACTTCTTTCAAATACAGTACCAAATCAGACCCTTTCTTAAATTAGGATAAAGGTGGGGATCATCAACAGTTGCCAGACTTTGCAGTAGCATTCAATCCCTTCTTTCAAATAAAAATTAAAAACTAACCATAACACTTTAATGAATAAAAACATAAAATACAGATAAATATTAAATTTATTACAAGTAAATACTAGTATTATTAAAATATGTTATGCAACCTTATTAGTCATGCAAAATTCTCCTTTGTGTTATCTTCATCTATTTTATAAACATAGTTTACTAGGCCACCATGGTATGTATACAATTATTTATCTCTATTTATTCACAAGAACAATCACGTCTATGAATTTACTATAAATGCATTCAGCTTATATATGACTGGGTTCATAAATCATTATCCCACAATTCCTTTAGCCATAGATTGCTGAAAAACCACAGTTTGCTGAGGTATGATATGTTAATCCAAATCAAGCAAACCAAATTATGGCTTAGCACAAGGTGTGAATCTAGTCACAAAAAAGGGGGGAAAGAGATGTTGATGTTTTTATGGTGTAATACAATTTCATCTTCGTTTGGTAAACAAAAATAAGGAAATGAAATAATTAGGATGCTATGGAAACCTAATATGGGTTTCTTTATAACTGTCAGCTAAGTACTTATAAGATTAGTGTGATCTATATAATACTTTAGTTTTTGTTACCTTTATAGCTAATTTTAAAGGAATTCCTTTTGTTTGGATCAATCTCATGTTTTTAATCTATACATTTAAATAAAGGGGATTTGGAAAATACTAGGATAATAAAAGGATATGTTCCAAAGAAATTATCTTTGAGGAGGTTTTGCTACTAGCCTAATACATTTTACATATTTTTGGATAGTAACTATTCAAGGAAAAAGCAATTTTCAGGTTCTTAAATTTTATAGATTCTTTACATAAAAGTGTGGTTGAAATATGGAACAAACTGTTAAAGCCAGCAACTGAATGTGAATAAAGAATATAATCTCAAAAAAGTGAACAGTTTCAGACATGAAGTACAAAAAGTATTTAGTTGTATGTTAAAAAACAAAACCAATTAAATAATTGATGTATTCTTAAATCTAGAGGAAAATTTGGGTAGCAAATACTTAATTCAGGCCTATATAACAAGACTCCACATCATCTGCATTCATCAAAACATAAATGCTCTTCTCACCAGGGCAAATGTTATCAGTTTCAATTAAGATACTTTCAAGATCATTCAATATAAACTAAACAAAGTAAGGGCTAGATTAACTAGATATGAGAATATCTTCAATCAGCTACCATACAATATTTGATTTAAAAAGGTATTGTGGCACAGGATCTTAGCGAGTTAAAGCAGTCTTTTCTCAATAGGAAGGTTCTTGAATTTAATTCAAAGCTTAATAGGAGTTAAATAAACATTATCAATGATACCAGCTAGATTTAAATTTCTAATGGAGCCCATTAGAAAATAACTCTAGCAATTTTGGCAAATGTGACAACCTAGAGTGGTTTTCCTGTGCATAGAATTAAGAGAATAAAATGTAAAGCCTTCTAGTCCAGGTCTTCTGTAGCAGAACTGTAGGAAAAGAAAATAGACACTGGAGGAAAAACCTGCCCCTGTTTTATTTTGTCAGCATCTATGTTTCAAAAAATTATCTTCAAGTAAGAATTATCATGAATTGAGGAAAGTCAATCAGCAGGATCTATCAGATTAAATATTTCTGTCTCATCACTTAAAAAATAATTTCATTACTAGCTATCATTATATGAGAATTGTCCAGTGGTTTGAGGTCTATTTATTTTCTGCGAGTCAGAAATCTGTACTCTATCCATGCCTTTCCAGATTAGCCATATGTGGTAAAGTAAGAGGTGGATTTTCCTGAATGCTATGGACATAAAATTCATGAGACTATTTTTGCAAGCTAGCAGTGTCCTTCTCCAAAGGGGAGATTATTATGGTACAAGTTTGAATGTATAGTTTTCTTCATAGCACTAACTTTCCCATAATTCTCTGGAAGCAGATACAGGTGATCTTTTGGAACCCAGTTCACTGGATCAAGTTTCAGCCACTATAAACAGTCTAGCTTTCAGCTGATTGAGTCTACCCAACAAATTCTACTACACTTTATATGGAAATTCATCAATCTTCTAATCATGTTTTTCTTAGCTGCATTTTATCAATATATTCTCCTTCCTTGCTTAAGCATTCATATAGGCTAGCCTGTCTGGTGAATTTGGCACTGTTTGAGGATATTTTAACACCCAAATTAGCAGGAAACAAGGGCATTTCTATAAAATCTTTGAACACTCACATTGATAAAATACAATTGCAATTTGGGGATCCTCCTGGATTTAGATTTACTGCTGGTGTAATGGCTGTGGCCCCACCTGGAACAGGAAGCCCTGACAATGGTGACTCATCTCATCACTATGTGATTAGATTACTGCACTGCTCTTTTAATGGAGCTGATTTTGAAGACCACTTGAAAACTTCAGTTGGTGCAAATTGTTGTTGGCAAGTGACAATCTCTGTAGGCACATAACACTATGCTGCAGGCACTGCACTGGCTTCCAGTAAGTTTTCAGGTGCAATTCAAAGTGTTGGCTTTAATTTATACAATTCTGTAAGATTGGTTCCAGAATACCTTCAAGAGTGCCTATTTCATGTGCAATTGATCTGCCCTGTATGGTCCTCATGGGAAAAGTTACTGGCAGTCATTCATTTTTGGAAGATGATGGGACCAAGTTACCTGAAGCATGTTTCCACTAAGGATCCCTGTCCTTTGAAACTCATACTTCCCAAAGCCTCCTCTTTCTGACCCCCAACTTGATGACTTTGATGATGGCTAATTAAAACAAAGTCTGAGAGACTTGAAAGATTGAGGAAATTAGATGCACTTGGTTCAATTATTTATTATGGATATTTTTATTTGTCTTATTTTGTTTTTATGTTTAAACAGTTAGTTCCCAGGTTAAGGACGTTACAGATGACCCATAGTTAAGACCAGAGCCTACTGTAGGAAAATTTGAGTTAAAT